TTCATAGAGGTAGAAAGTATTAATGGAACAATGAGTACCAGAGACTGGGGAGGGATGAGACGGGGGAATGGGGAGAAGTTGGTCAACAAGTAGAAAGTTACAACGAGGAAGAATAAGTTCTGGTGTTCTATCATGCAGTAAAATGACAGTAAGTTATTGTATATTATAAAATAGCTAGAAGAGAAGTTTTTGAATGTTAACAAAGAAACGATAAATGCACAGGGTGTTGGATACATTAAATAGTCTGATTTAATCATTAAATAATGTATGCATGTATTGAAATATCACATTGTACCCCATAAATATGTTCAACTACCATGTGTCAATCAAATAAAAAGAATCCATCACCAATAAAACAATAGTTGGCAGGCACTGAGTACTTCCTTGTATGTCTCACACTGTGCTATTTATTGTAAACACATTTGCCATTCAGTTATCCCAAAAAGGCTGAGAGCCAGGCACTGTTACCCTATGTCACAGAGGAGTAAGAGGACACCTAGAAAGGTGAAGTGACATATCCAAAGTCACTGGCTGACAAGCGCTGACAAACGACAGAAACCAGGATTACAAGTCAGAGCTAAAAGTGCACGTGCGCTCTCAGTTGCTCAACTGCATGGCTCCTGCCTGCTCCTTTTTCCCCAGGCAAGATGTGCTTATATGAGAGATTAGTAAACACAGTCTACCTACATTTATTCTGTCCCTCCCACATCTTTCCCAGGGCAAAAGTAACCATTCTTTATGAAACATAGTTATGAGTCTTTTTGCCATACTATTCAAAGTACCTCGAGTGTGCTCAAGGCCGTCATTGTCCTGAAAACCAAATAAATGTGTGTGGTTATCCAGAGAAGAATTCTAAAAATTGTTCTGGACATACCAGTGAAGCTACCGTATCCAAGAGGCATTTATTAAAATTTTATCTTTTTTTAGTTGGCCAATTAATTTCTTCCTATTTTTTAGTAGAGATGGGATCTCGCTCTTGCTCGGGCTGGTCTCGAACTCCTGACCTCAAGCGATCCTCCCACCTCAATTTCCCAGGGTGCTAGGATTACAGGCATGAGCCACCACGCCCGGCCAAGGCATTATCTTTTGAGGCCCCTACTGCTTGTTCCTAACTCAACTATCAACCAAAATAACTCACTTTTAATATAACATTTACTTATGTTTCTTATTATATTCACTCATCCTTCCATTCTTTATTTTGTTCCTTTCTCCTCGTTTTATGCAGATGGAAACTAAAACCTTAGAGAGAAAAATGGGCGTGAATAGGGTCGTTCAGATCCCAAGTGGTTCAGCGAGGATTCAAACCCAGCTACGCTAGACACCACCGTGAAATGAGCATCCAGATGTGAGCCTCCCAAGAGTGCGTGCGGTCTGACAACTCAAAAAGACAAACTTCTCATTAAGCGGAAAATGAAATTGCCTAAACTTCTCATTCCACACCATATGGCCCAAATCCCAGCTGACAGGAAGCTCATTCCTGAAACACACTGGGCTCGTTTCACTGACTAGGTTGATTCGAGATTTGTGGGGTGGTCATTGACAATTTTTTTTTTTTTTAAAGCACTGGTAGCAGCGGTGGTATTAATTTTGATGCTTCCTTTCTACATTTTCACATAAAAAAATCAAATGATCCTAATGATGGAGAGAGACAGATTTTACCCTACATTGTTTTTTTTTTTTCAGTGAAATATCACAGATATAATCACAAACAAGAAAAATATCCACCTGCTTCAAAGTGAACAACTACAATCATCTTCCAGCCCTTTGTCTAAGTCATCATGGCATGAGGTGGTAATAAGTTCTTAAATGATACCATCAGAGAGTTTTGTATGCTGATTAAGCCAAAGTGTTTGGACATTTAAAATTTTCCTGTATCTTTGCAAAGTCAGATTTTTAAAGCGATACAGCGACTCACCAAGCACCACGGAACTAACAGGAAGTGCCAAAGCCCTTGAACAAAATGATGTGGGTGTGAGATGCCATTGCATTTCCATCCAGGTAATTATTTTCGGGGTGGTACAGCAAAGTACTCTTGCACAAGAGGAAAGCCTGAAGTTTTTATGTCTTCTCCCCCCCCCCCCAATCCTAGAATGAACATGGAAAATACCATTTCTGCAAATCGAGAAAAGCATAAACTGTGAGCGTTGGGAAGGGCTTACAATGAACATGTTCATGTGCAGTGAAGTATACTGGGGCTGGAGTCCTGGAGTCCACAGGCAGGGGTTTGAACACAGATCCTACCGCTTACTGGCACTTGATCTTGGAGACATTTTTCCACTTTTTCAAGGCTTAGATTTCTCATCTGAAAATGGGATTAAGCCTAGGAGGCAGCAAAATACAGAGCTTTAAGGTAAAGCTCTCTGCACTCACAATGCAGCCGGCGGCCTGTGTGATGGCTCAGCTCAGTTCTGTCATCTGTAAAATAGAGGTGACAAAAACTGTGCCCACCTCACAAGGTGTTTGTGACGTGTAAATAGAGTAATACATATAAGGCATGGTACCTAGATCATAGCAAGTAGTCAAAAGACTTTTTTACTTTTTTAAAGATTTTCACGTAAGGGGTTCTAAAGAGTAAGTTCTAAGTGGTCCCCAGAGGACATGGAGGGAAAAGAATGAAACTATATACAGCTAAGACTCCAATGTCTAACCCAGGCGTCCTCAAACTACAGCCTGCGGGCCACATGCGGGCCACCTAGCACATTTATCTTGCCCTCTAGGTGTTTTTGCCCCCACTGCCTGTCCTGCTTAGCAGCGGACTCCTCCCTGGCGCACTTGTGCACTCTCCAATGGTCTGAGGGACAGTGAACTGGCCCCATGTTTAAAAACTTTGAGGACCTCTGGTAACCTGTCCCCTTCCAAATCCTCACCTACAACACCCAGAGCAATCTTGGTCTCTTATCTATTTATATTTATTGAATTTTTTTTCTTTTTGAAACAGAGTCTTATTCTGTCACCTAGGCTAGAGTGCAGTGCCATCATTATAGCTGAGTGCAACCTCAAACTCCTTGGCTCAAGAGATCCTCCTGCCTTAGCCTCTCACAGTGCTGGGATTACAGGCATGAGCCATCTCGCCTGGCCTGGAATTTTATTTTTATTTGTTTATTTATTTTTATGTTTTTTTTTTATTCGGCATATTATGGGGCTATAGATATTTTTAAAAGCTTTTGTCACTGGAAAATATATTATGAAAACTTCTGCCCTGGTTAACTCTCATTTTACAGATAGGAAAAGCAAAGGCTTGAAAGACAAAGGAAGTTTTCCCGGATCACGCTGTAGGTAAAGTGCTGGCCAGGGGTTGGACTGCATCCTGCCTCCCCTCAGCCCCCTACAAATGGTCCCTTCTATCTCCTGACTCTGCTGAGCTGACGATTGTCAGGACACTGCTGAAGTTTTGAGACTGGGAGGTGGCATAATGGGGCCCGGAAGACTAATAGCGAAGGAAGTCAGGGCCTGATCCAGGTGGGAGAAGAAGGTGAGGGTGATGGAATGTGTGTGATTGTGCGTACAAGTGTTTGCATTTGTGCATGTGAGAGTATGCTGGACATTCCAGACCCACTGGATTTGAGAGGCTGGTGGAATATCCAGATGGAAAGAAAGATCTAGAACTCAGGGAACATATTAATTAATACTAGGGCTGGAGATAGAGATCTAAGAGTCATCTGGCAAGAAAATCAGACATGAAGGTGTACTGAGAGAGAGAGAGAGACAGACAGACAGACAGAAAGACAGACAGACACACACACACACCCCACCCCAGCAAGCTGACAGAGTGAGGAGGTGATGGCCAGGAGGAGGATCAGAGTCACGGAGGAGAAAGAAGATGCAGAGTATAAATAATACTGCAGAGAAAAATAATAATTTCAAAGAAAAATAACTTCATTTAAGATAACAACACTAGTACTTACTGAACACATACTATTTTAGCCAACTTATTACTTTACATAGATTATTTTATGCAATCTTTCCAGCAATCTTGGAAGATAGATACTTCTATTACCCCCATTTTATAAATAGATAAGAAAGCAGGCACAGAGAGGGTGGATGACTTGAAGGTTATGCAGCTACTAAAGGACAGAAATAGGGTTAAAATCATAGTGGGGTAATTCCAGAGCCTAAGGTTTTAACCACTATGCTACAAGGAATTTTAGGGAGCAAAAGAAGGAAGATTAATATAGTATTAGTTGCACAAGTACTAACAGCAGCAGTACCTGTTGACTGAGTACTGTTTTGCAGCAGACACTGTGATGAGCGCATATTAACATGGTCTCATTTAACCCTTGAAACAACTTGAAATCATGGATGGTCTTAGTCTTATTAAGTAGAAAAGGAAACTGGCTTGGTAATGTCAGCAACTTGTCCGAAGTCCCACGACTAGTGGGTGACAGCAGGGGCTAGAAGCCAGGTATGTATGTGAGCACGCCTCCTCATCCAAAGCTTGGTGTTGATATATGTGCCCCAAAGACTTCACAACTTGAGAAACTTTAACCAGGGCACCAGGCTTGGGGAGGTTCGGCTGCCTTGCTTTAAAAGAATCCAAGAAATTGACCTAAATCACTGTTTTAGAGACCATTTGTCTTAGTCAGTTCAGGCTGCTATACCAAAGAACCATAGACTGGGTGGCTTATGAACAACAGAAATCCATTTCTCATAGTTCCGGAGGCCGGAAGTCTGAGCTCAGGTGCCAGCCTAGCTGGGTTCCGGGGAGGGTTCTCTTCTGGGTTGCAGACTGCCAACTTCTAGTTCTGCACTCACACAGTGGACAGCGAGCTCTGGTCTCTTCAGAACCCCCTTATAAGAACACTAATTCCATTCATTAAGGCTCCAATCTCAGGACTTACTAATAGTTACCCCTCAACAACCCCGCCTCCTGATACCACCATCTTGGAATTTAGTATGAATTTTGGGACGACACAAAGATTTGGTCCATAACACCATTTCACTTTTCCTCTAAAGTGTACATAGTAGCATCAAACCAATGAAAATGATTAAAATTTCCTTACCTAAGACTCTTAATCTTTCAGCGCCTACGACTACTTCATTGTCATCTGCAGAGAAGAGCAATTTTCCAGAAACGGTTTTTACCTCAAACTTTTTGCCATAAGCCTCTACTGCTTTTGGACCTAGAAGAAAGGGGGCAGGGGTGGGGGGAGGGAGAGGGAGAGAGAGAAAGAATATATTAGTTTCATTGTATTTGACTCCGAAAAGCTTTTCATAGAACACACATCTGACAAGATTGTACTGGACTTTAATGTTAAGTGGATTGGTTTTCAAAAGCCGACCATGGAAATTAGTCTCATGACTTTGGCCAAGTCTTGCCAATTACTTTTAATCATATTCTCTCAGGCTATGATTTTAAAGACCATCCTGTCCTTCCTCCAAACTAATGCCTGAATGAGATTTTCCTCAGCCAACCACTGAATTACTGTCAAATAGTTGTGGATTTTTGCTGGAATGTATCAAAGCACAAGAGACTCCCCACTTCTTGAGGCAACTGTGTATCTTTGGCCATCCCCAACTGTCAGAAACAGCTCCTTTAAATTCAGCTGAAATCTGGTTCGCTGTGTACTCTTAACCCACTGGCTGCATCTGACACCAAAAGAAATCTATTTCTTCAGCATACAGATCACTTCCTGGTAGAAATGGTTGTATTGTAATTAATTGCCTTGGAAGTTGTTGAATCTTTTATGCTACAATTTCATTCAATAAAAAAAAATATTTAGAGGATTTATTAGATGACAATAGATGATGTTTTTGAAGGTGGTGCATAAAAGGAAGGTAAGGCCCCTGATCCTGCAACACCTATATTCTGACAGAGACAGACCGACGTAAATCTAAAAATTTAGATTGATAAATAAACCAGAAAACTTCTAGAGCTTTACATACTATGGAAAAAGTAAAATAGGTTAATGAGTTAGAATTTCTAAAAGGAGAAGACATTCCAATCCAAGCTGGATCTACCAGAATACCTGGATTTCAGGTGGCTTCCAAAAGCTGGTCTGCAGGAATTCATTAGAATAACTTAGGGGTACAGTCATCCTCACTAGCCTCGCTCAGACCACAAGAAATTGATCTCTTGGTCTAGAGATTTCTACACAAAAAATTTTGAGAGTAGACTCCAGAAATCATGCATTAGTCCAAAACTGTCTAGGAGAGTCTGATACAGAATTTTTGTTTCCTTCTAAGTATTTTTCAAGTGAGTGCCACTTTATAATAAATAGCAATGAAAGAGTCCCCAATTTCTTCCAGCCAACGATCACTAGGAACACACCTGCAGTTGACCAAACTGGGCTTATTACTCACTGCAGTGAAAGAGAATGCACACCATAAGGTACTAGGAAGCATCTCAGTAAGAAGCTGCTAGAAAGAACTTACTTACTACAAGACCTGACCTTATGTGAGATTATTTGGGGGAAGGTTTCAGAAAACAGGGCTTTACTCTGGATTAAATACTGTCAGGAAGTGGGAGTAATTTTATGACTGGGTATCTTAATGAATCTCATCTAGAAGACAGACAGACCCGAGCAATGCTAACATGTGTATGAAAAAAGAAACAGCAGCGACTCATGTTAGCCAGGATAGAAGGCTGTTTGGTTTTTTTTATGATCTGGACAATGCTTACATTCTTGTCTGTGTTCAGACATGGTCAGAATTGTTTTTGTTTTTCTGTGTTTTGTTTTGTCTTGATCCATCACGGGCCACTGAGTGGCCTTGTCTGGTGTTGACGTTTTGTGAAAATATTTATGTTCGAGCAGGAGAACGCCAGGCCTGGCTGACAGAGCCAGCCAGCCCCTGGACATGCGGGGCAGCTTTTCTCTTATAGAGATAGAATACAAAACTATCAGATTGGGAATCAGAAGACATGAATTGCGTCCCAACTCACTCTAATTTTCTGGAAATATGAATTTGAGTAAGTGATTTTATCCTTCTGATCCTCAGTTTCTGCATCTATAAAATTGGACCATGGTCACCCACTCTATCTACCTCATAATTGGTTGAAAGGATCAAATGATGCTGTGTTTCTAAAAGAAATCTGTGAGTGGAAAAGTGCTGTGAAAAGTAGGGGACCACTCCTGAAGTCATTTTATCACAGTCATCACCATTGCCCTTCTTGTACTACAGCAGTGACAATACATTGGAAAGAATTAGTGACGGGTGACCTATGAGTGCCCTTTCCTGGTCACATAACCACATCCACTTGGCAGACCTCATCTCGTGCCAGAACATTCACAGTAGTTGTCTGACGCATTGGAAAGTCTCCTTAATGAGCAGGAGATTGAAACGGCAGAGATGGGACAGAATTTCCAAACGCCGTGAGACCTGGATGTGATCTTTCTGCGTGTGTTCATGCTGCAGGTCAGGGGAACAAGTGACATCGAGGCTAAGGCTCTCAAAAGGACGCTGAGTGAGCCAATGGCAGATCTGGGTATGAACTCAAGCTCTCAAAATTGTTCCACAGAAGGGAAGAGAGGTCTATTTGTCTTGGAAGAAGAAGAGGGCTGGAGCCAAAACATCTGGAGCAGTTAGGAGATGAGTTCTTTGGGGAAGAAGAATAAGCAGGAGAGACAAGGGTCAGAGGGAGATTTTTTTTTGAGACAGAGTCTCACTTTGTTGCCCAGGCTACAGTGAGTGCTGTGGTGTCAGCCTAGCTCACAGCAACCTCAAACTCCTGGGCTCAAGCAACCCTCTTGCCTCAGGCTCCAAAGTAGCTGGGACTACAGGCATGTGCCATCATGCCCAGCTAATTTTTTCTATATATATTAGTTGGTCAATTAGTTTATTTTTATTTATAGTAGAGACGGGGTCTCGCTCTTGCTCAGGCTGGTTTCAAACTCCTGACCTTGAGCAATCTGCCTGCCTCGGCCTCCCAGAGTGATAGGATTACAGGTGTGAGCCACCGCGCTCGGCTCAGAGGGAGAGCTTGAAAGAGCTGTAACATCTGATGAAGGATTTGGATTAGGTTTTTCTGCGAGGTCTAAGATACAGCTGTCTTCTTGATTGCATCGATACCTTCAGTAAAGTCCAAATTATTTGTCAATACTTTAGGATTTTCACCTTTTTTGGGTGGGGAGATTGGAGATGGGGAGGTAAAGAAGTGCTAATGAATGGATGGACGGACGGCCTCAGGACAGACATAGGTGAGCACAGTGTGTCCATCTGGGATCCATTCATATGGCTGAGCTGGGGTGTGACTGGGTGGGGTGGGAGGGCAACTGCTTGGACTGTGCCTCCGGGGACCTGGACAATACCATCAGACTTGGCCCCGAGGAGTCAAGTTCACCTTCCTGTGAATATAGTGAGTTTTCTCTGAACTCTTGAACAGTACATGAGACACACAGGAGAGTGGATTAAAGAGACTACAGCAATCAGAGAACACAAAGCACAATTAAGTTATCTTCCTTTTCAGGGCTTCACAGAACACAAAACGGAATTTACCAAGGGCCAGAACCACTTGGGTATCTAAAGCTCAGTAATTGGTAGTTTTAGCCCAAATCCCATGGAGGCTACCGGCTGACTCAAAGGGGCAGATTGTTGTTCTTTGTCAATTTCACCTGGGGCTGCCAAACTTCCCGGGACATGGCTGGAATCTTAAAAAGTGACTCTAGAGGCAAATGCAAATGGAGGTGGAGACAGTCAGGAGGTCCTTGCCGAACCCATGTTTTCTCTGGGATGGAAAAGAAAATACTATTCTAAGTGAAACTATCTTCGCTTAATTCCCCTCTGTGTGTGATAGTGTATGCGTAAGGTGCCTTCCTTATTAATCTCTAAGAGGGAGGAAACTGGAGTCCAGCAAGATGCACATCTGCAGTCTCCAGTCGCCATGACCTCGAATTGGGGGGCTGGAAAGGGCCTGGTGGCTACCCATCCTGGACCTCTCTCCAACCGTTGCTGCCAGACCCCTTCCCCCCCACACAATGTTACCAAGGCACCCTACCACTTCCTACCTGCAAGTCAGGGTTCCCCATCTGGACACTTCCAAGACACTAAGTCAGCAGCTTCTGGGTCAATATGGCTAATTTGAAACTTAACTATCCCCAGAGAAGCATTATTGCTGTAAAACTTACTGAACATCTAACATTAATTTCTATGGACTGTTAAGACATTCTTTAGGTAAGCAGAATTCTTGATTCCTCAGGGTGCCTAAGTAGACTACTGCTTAGAAGGCAGGAGCGATTTGCTTTGCAGTAAGTACACTGCCAGTATGACAGGCAGTAGAAGGTAGTCTGTGCTTTCTGCCTATCTCTCTTTTTAATTAGTTTCTTTTTATTTATAGTAGAGACGGGGTCTCACTCTTGCTCAGGCTGGTTTCGAACTCCTGACCTTGAGCAATCCGCCCGCCTCGGCCTTCCAGAGTGCTAGGATTACAGGCATGAGCCACCGCGCTCAGCTCAGAGAGAGAGCTTGAAAGAGCTGTAACATCTGATGAAGGATTTGGATTAGGTTTTTCTGCAGGTCTAAGATACAGCTGTCTTCTGGATTGCATAGATACCTTCAGTAAAGTCCAAATTATTTGTCAATACTTTAGGGTTTTCACCTTTTTTGGGTGGGGAGATTGGAGATGGGGAGGTAAAGAAGTGCTAATGAATGGATGGACGGACGGCCTCAGAACAGACATAGGTGAGCACAGTGTGTCCATCTGGGATCCATTCATATGGCTGAGCTGGGGTATGACTGGGTGGGGTGGGGGTATAACTGCTTGGACTGTGCCTCCGGGGACCTGGACAATAGCATCAGACTTGGCCCCTGAGGAGTCAAGTTCACCTTCCTGTGAATAAAGTGAGTTTTCTCTGAACTCTTGAACAGTACATGAGACACACAGGAGAGTGGATTAAAGAGACTATAGCAATCGGAGAACACAAAGCACAATTAAGTTATCTTCCTTTTCAGGGCTTCACAGAACACAAAACGGAATTTACCAAGGGCCAGAACCACTTGGGTATCTAAAGCTCAGTAATTGGTAGTTTTAGCCCAAATCCCACGGAGCTAACGCTGACTCAAAGGGGCAGATGCTTGTTCTTTGTCAATTTCACCTGGGGCTGCCAAACTTCCCCGGACATGGCTGGAATCTTAAAAAGTGACTCTAGAGGCAAATGCAAATGGAGGTGGAGACAGCTCAGGAGGTCCCTTGCCGAACCCATTGTTTCTCTCTGGGATGGAAAAAGAAAATCACTATTTCTAATGTGAAACTAATCTTCGCTTAATTCCCCTCTGTGTGTGATAGTGTATGCGTAAGGTGCCTCCTTAATTAATCTCCTAAAGAGGGAGGAAAACTGGAGTCCAGCAAGATGCACCATCTGCAGTCTCCAGTCGCCATGACCTCGAATTGGCGGGCCTGGAAAGGCCTGGTGGCTACCCATCCTGACCCCTCCCCAACAACCTTGCTGCCAGACCCCCTTCCCCACCCCCACACAATGTTATCCAAGGCACCCCTACCACTTTCCTACCTGCAAGTCAGGGGGTTCCCCATCTGGACCCACTTCCAAGACACTAAGTCAGCAGCCTTCTGGGTCAAATATGGCCTAATTTGAAAACTTAACTATCCCATAGAGAAAGCATTATTTGCTGTAAAAACATTACCTGAACATCTAACATTAGAATTTCTAATGGACTGTTAAGACATTCTTTAGGTAAGCAGAATTCTTGATTCCTCAGGGTGGCCTTAGTAGACCTCATTGCTTAGAAGGCAGGAGCGATTTGCTTTGCAGTAAGTACACTGTCCAGTATGACAGGCAGTAGAAGGTACTGTCTGTGCTTTCTGCCATGTGCAGAAATGTAATGTAAAAGGAAAGCCCTGAAGGAAAACTTCAGGGGGTCTGTGTGTGTGTTTAGAATATTTTTAATACCTCTATTATCCTTTCTAGAACACATCTTGGAAGGCTCCTGTAAGCTAGCATCAGAATGGCTTTTGGTCCACCTGGTTTTCAAGTTAGCTGTCTTGTACATGACCTTCTTAGTCAGGGACAGGTGTCATCCAGCTCCCAACTTGGGGGGACAGAAAGACAAAGACTGTGGGAGGGATGAAGGCAAGAGAGAAGAGAGAGGAAAGGGAGGAGAAGGAGGAAAAAAGAAGGGTGAGAGAGGGGACGAGAGAACGAAAAAGAGGGAGAAAGGGAGGTAGGAGGAGAGAAGGGAAGGGAAACAGAGGAGGAAGAAGAGGGACAGGGAGGAAGGTGGAGGGGAAGAAGAGGAGGATAGAGAGGGGAAGGGGAGGAAAACAGTGATGGGCAGAGAGTAGAAAGAGAAGGCAGAGAGGGAGGTGGGGACGGAGAGAGGGCAGGAAGGAGGAGAAAAAGGGGGAGAGAGTGAGGGAGAGCCATGGACTCTTTTTGCTGAGTAATAGTCATTTGGGCAGTTCCAGCTTTATCAAAACAAAATCTCTCAAGTAAACCACATCTCCCAGTGCAAATAAATGGCAAATGATCAACAGGCTAAATAAGTTCCTTTTGAACGCGGAAATCTGGGAGCTGGAGGTTGGATTTATTTCCCTCCTGGAGGCAATTTTCACATACGGCGCTTAAATCATTGCTTACTGAAGCTGTTTATTTAATTATTTAGCGTTGTGACTGCAGGCCAGATGTTACATAAGCAAGGCCTGCGATCCAGTCGCAGGCTGAAGCAGCATGTTTATGCATTATGGGCTCTACCGTGCAGCCGTTCCTCCCATCCCTGAGTTCCTGGATTGGCGGATGGTCCAGGTCCCCATAGGTCACTCCTGGGGACAGGGGTGCTGGCTCTGGGGCTCCCTCCTCAGTAGAAAGAACCCTAGGCACAAAGGCACCTGTTTCCCCGTGGCCTGTCTATTACTGGGGCTCCAGAGAGTTTAGTCACAGCAATGTTTCAGGGCATTTGGGTAACTGGCTTCTCGAAATGTCCATCTGTATACTTTTCCATTAGCCTTGAAGCCAAACAAATGGCATTGTCTGTCTGGAAGTAGAACAATGCCATTCGGACATACATTCCCTTTTCCTTTAACAGTGGCACTGCATAATTGCCTCCCTGTTATTTGTAACCTACAGAGGTGGCATTGATCCTACTGCCTAACACATTACCAAACCACGAGGCCCATGTTTATCATTATAATCATTATTGTGAATAACCAATCCTTGTTTAAATTTCAGGAATATGCAGCTTAAAAGCCAATGGGTGCTTTCTGCAGCTGTTAGGAGCGTAGCTGTTATAGTAAAAGGAACTGTACAAACGTATTCAGTGGAGACACTTCTGCATCTTGCCATTGAGTGACGTTCAAGCCAGCACATACGGCAAACATGGCATGGATTCAAACTGTCATTAAAAATCTCTTTCATGACCCATAAAGTGTTCCATGTGGCTCTGTGAATACTGTGCTCTTCTCTTGATCAATCCAGCACGGCCAGTTTTCCCTCCAGCACTGGAGCAAGGAGCTTCTCTTTGGTTAAGCACCCGATGGATGAAGCAGCTAGCTTGCATTTAGAAGCTGTGGTCTATGCAAAATAGACCTTTTCCCCCCTAAGCAGGTATTATTAGATTTCATAAGTTAAATTAAGAAGATAAGATGGAACTGCTCCTTTTAGCAGAACTGTGGAATACACGCTATATTCTCTTTTTTAACACAGCAAATAAATACGTTAGCAGACGTTCTTTTCAAGTTCACATGGCGGTTTCATCTGACCTTTACATTTCTGAGAGCCCAGCATGGACCAGGCACTGCTAAGCTTCTTCCTTTTCTTACCTGTTATTAGCTGAGTTAGCACTTTAGTCTGGTCATTGAGAATGTTCACTGTAACATTTCTGGCAGATTTGAAGTACAGGGCATTACCCTGCAATAAGAAAATAAGAGAAACACATGAAAATGGCAGACTTCTAAACAACAACAACAACAAAAAACTGTCACATCCTACCTCCCTAAGAGGCTGAACTGGTTTTAGCCAAGTTCCAATCAATGTGTCTTTATTTGAAAACTCCAACTGTTGAATGATCCCCACATATGTAATAATTAATCGGCATTCATCTAAAATAGATTTGTTCCAAAGAGACAGAGACAGACAGACACACAACGTAGGTTTCTCCAGAACACACAATTTTTTGTTGTTTTCTCTATGCTATCTTTATTTATTTTTTTCACAGACAACATTTTTATAGTTGAATCAGAACAACTGGGACATAGAGCCCTTTAGACCTTATTACAGACATTAGTTAGCCTTGGTACACAGAATTATCAGGAATGAGTGGTAATCTCCTAACCTTGTCCTCTCTCCAAAGGAGCCATGCCAAGTCTTAAAAGAAAAGCAGCAAACTCCTGCAAAATACCCAAGGTATGGCCTGCCTTGGGCATGCCTACGACTGCGAGAATCCTTTGTGGAGACTTTTGTAACACATATATGCAAAACCCAGGCAATATGGCATCCTCAAGTAAGCCTCCTCTTCTTCCTTTCTTTCTGTGTCTTCAGATTCCTTGTCCTCCAGATGTTCTGTGCCTTCATCCACTCCCCCTTTATCAGAAGGGCTCCCTCACCCTCTCTCACACTCTGGTTGACATTTCTGAGCATGATTCAGAACAGGGCATGGCACATTTTTCTGCAAAGGACCTGATGCTAAAAATGTTAGGCTTTCTGGAACGTATGATCCCTGTCGTAAATACCCAGTTCTGCTATCCTTGGGCAAGAACAGCCTTAGACCATCCAGAGATAAAGAGGGTCTGACTGTATATTCCAATAAGCTTTATTCATGGATGCTGGCAGCTAAATTTCATATAATTTTAATTTTATATTTAAAATTTAACATAACATAAATGTATCATGATATATTACATTATTCTTTTTTTAGTTTTGTTTTTCCTCCTTCAATTATTTAAAAATGTAAAAACCATTCTTAGAGATCTCTGGTGACATAAGAACAGATACAGTTGGGTAGCTCAAAGGCTATCGTTTGCCAAGCCCTGGTTTAGTAGAAGTTATCCTTTTCTTGGAGGAAACTAAAGCCATAAACTAAAGGATGAATCACTGACAGAGAACATGTCAGCATCATCTAGTTCTTATTGGAAAAAAGAATTTAGCAGTCATTCCTGTCTTTCTGAACCTCTGTTACCCCATGACATACACCTGCCTGAAAATTCAATCATATCCCTATGCATTGAGTCCCAAATGTCTAAAAACCATCGTCCTACAAGGTGTGAGGCAAATCCAGTCTTTACCCTCAAAGCCTTAGGTTCTAATAGGAACAGTGAGATGATGATCATGAATATCGTAGAGAACATTACGAGTGATTAAGGAGCTACAAAGTGCTTGGGGGACTTCCTCGAAGGGTGAGCTCATTCTCATCTTGAGGCTGTGGAGTGGGAAGCAAAGGAGACTTCCAGAAAAAATTAGCACATCAACTGAGCCTTGAAAAGACTACAGATACAACTTTACCAAGTTGAATGAAAAAAAGAAGGTCATGGAAGTAAGAAAATGGTGGGCTGACTGTCCAATGTCTTTTTCCTACTACAATGGGCAGGGCTGAGGACTGAAGTGGCCAGCCCCACCTGCACATGCGGAGTGTATCCACTCATGCTCCAGGTGGCTTTCTCAAGTGGACCAGAGGGGACGGTGCTGGCAGCCACCACAGACTGTTAGTCTGAGTCATGGTCTCTCCCACCGAAGGTTAACTGCTAAAAAGGGTGGCCATGACCCACGCAGGCCCTGAATAACCAGTTCACCTTGGTTGAGAGCTGCTGACCTAGTGTTGGGGAGAAGACAACCACTACTGATATATCCAGCAACTAGAGATTCAGTATAATCCCCCACGATGGTTTACAATTAAAATTTCCTCTGATGAGAAAGGTTTCTTTTTCAAAAAAAAAAAAAAATTGGATCAGAGAAGAATATAATATTGTCATAAGTTTTTTTTTTCCTGTCCATAAAGAAACAAATATTACTCTAAAATAGTGTCTTTGGCATTGTCTCTGAGAGTACATAGCAGTTCTATTTAAAACTTCAGAACGATTCAAGTAAAGTGAGAATTTAGAACCTAGAACCTGGACAGAAGATTGTATGTTTCTAGAAGTTAACATACTAACGTTTCTTTTCACAAATTCAGCAACCTGGCACTGCAGAGAAAAGGGTGGCCTTGACTCAGAAAACAGGACACATTCTGCTGCCACTGACTGGTATGTGACCTCGAGCAAATCACCTCACTGTTCTGCATTTCCTTCTTTGCATTCTCCACCTTCCACACCAATGTCAATTATCAATCTTATCGTTGACATAACAAAGCACCCACTATGTGCCAGGCACATGCTAGGAGCTCTGGAGTCACACCAGATACTTTCTAGTCTCAGCTCTGTCCCTTGCAAATCTTGTGACACTGGGCAATTTACTTAATTGCTCCAGGCCTCAGGTTAAAGGTATGATGGCACAAATGTTAATTATTAAATTATTAAGACACACATATTGTTGAAATTGTTAAATTCCATACATAATTATTAGAACACATGTGGCCCAGTGCCAGGGACATATTAAGTCCTCAGTAATTGTTAGGGTAAGGAGAGGAGGGAAAAAAGGAAGGTCAGGGGGAGGGAGAAAAAGGGGCAAAAAGGGAGCAATGGAGAGAACTGAGGAAGAAAACGTCATGTGTATCACTCATTCTTTCCAAACCATCTATACAGTGAGTCAGGGGATTTTTTTGCATTTTCAACATTCTGTTTCCATATTTCAAAGGGTTTCCCTTTATGTGGTTGGCTCACCATTGTCTTTCGAGTCCCAGTACTTGCCTGTTCTTAATATTCTTCAAATAATTCTATCATGGACAAATCTCGTAACAGCTTTGCTCAAGATTTACAACAAGGGATATAATAAAACCACCCATTCTTTTTTTATTGCCATGCCAAAATATAATAGTTCAGGCACTGATTGTTCTAATATGCTAACATCCTGAGAAACAGTCATTGCTACATCGGAGTTTAAAGAAAGAGCCTCATTCCATACCTGGTAACAGAAAGATCACCAAGAAGAAAATGTGAACCAGCTAGCAAACATGAAGAGTCTCGTACGGCAGCTAGGTCAGTGCGATTTTTGTTTTGTTCTCTGAATGTGCCCACTGAGACTGAACCAGGAAAATACCAGCCACGCAAAGCATCCTTAGGGGTCTCTGCAGTATTAGAACAAGTAGGAGAAACGGTCTCTCGTGTCTGATGAGAGAAACTAAATTCTGCCCTTTCAAGCCTCTTCTCTTCCCCTGGCATCGCCTCCCAGTCAACACTGCAGCCTTGAGAACGTGAATCTTTGCCTTGGAGCTGGTGACTTTCACTAGCTGACCTCAAGGGAACCATTCTAGGACAAGGGGTTTGCAGGTGGCTGCCTGGTGGCTCAGCCGTGCAGGGCAGAAAGGAGTCTGGCAGACCCGTGGCTGGTGATGACGGTCAGAGCTCAGCAGGTCGGGTCGGTCTGCAGCCAATCAGCCTGAGATTCTTCTGGACACAGGAGGAGGCAACACACCATGTCTCCCATGCACAGAGAGAGGACAGTCCATGTCAGCACTCTCCCCGAAATAACCAAAGTGTGTGGCATTTTGTACTGAAATTCTCACCACGCAAACACTCCGATAGAGAAAAATCCCTGTCACACAGCTTGATTTTTCTAAAGCAGAACATGCACATCTCTATTTCTCTAAAGCCTAACATGCAGAAACCTTTTCCTGATGACTCGGGGCCAGTGGAATGAACATTATTGGTTGCACTATGTCCTCCAGTGGCTCCTGTATGCGAGTGGCTATTTGATGACTGAATGGCTCCATCATGCTGACATTTTAAGATGATTGCATCTGATTTTTTAAACATGTATTATTTATTCTTATAACAAAACAGTACCTGTAAATGTCAAACACTATGCACAAGGCACATAACAAAGAGCAGCAATTCACACCTCTCATCATTGCAAGAGTTTCAACTTGTCTGGATGTTTCTTCAGGTATTTCTCTCCTTATAGCCAAAATACATTTCGTGATTTTTCCTGATTCATCAACTTTAGATGTTAGCCATTGAATGTTTCCAATGGTAAGGACTCTTCCATATAACTTTGGTTAAATCAACGTTCAGAATTTACATTATTATAATTATGTATTTGTTGCCCACAGATGAGTCAAGTAGTATACTTTAATTGCATTTCCTTTCTTAAAAATATATAATTTTTTTTTCCTTTCTGGAGTCAATAATCACTCTATTTTTTTTTTTAAAAACTTGCTTAAATTTCTAGTATTTTTCCTCTCCTATAGAGTTCAATCCCTTTTCTTTAGGTTCTATCTTCTGGGAGACATCTTCAAATTTAAGTTTAATTTTCTATTGATTTTTTTAAAACATTTCTACTATTAATTTTAAGAGCATTGAAAAAATTCTTTGAACATTTCTTTTTATATAATTCCTTCCTTATTTGATTGACATACTACCTTCTCTCGGAGGAGAGTAAGAAAGCTGACTGGAAGCTCTGTGTTTCTGGAATGCTGAACCTTGCTACAGGTCAATGGCAGGGATTTCACTAATGAAATGAAGAACCTCCAAATGTGAGTTATCTGTGTACCAGTCAGTAACTCCAGCGCCAGGTTCATCAGAGAAGAATCCTCCAAAGTCCTGCTAGGAAGGTGGTGGGTACAATGTTATTAACAGGTATGAGTTTGGGGTATTAGAGGGGGCTGGGCATTTTGCTGGTCAGAGAATAGACTTTCAACTGAACCTTCTCTGTTTTTCAGTGGCTCATTCCCAGCTTCATCTATGGCTGGTACCCCACAGCCCACAGTTCCTCTGGTCCAAACTAGTTTCTAGAAAACAGTCGTCCTATCTTCTAATGAG